AACATCAACGATTTGCTTCTGAGTCTTCTCCATGTTAGAACAGAACCAGACTTGTGTGTTACTTCTACTGCTCATCTGCGTGCCCATGTACTACAGTCTAGTGATCACAGCAAGGTGGACGTTCACTTTTTTCATCTAAAGCACATGTGAAACTTCTTAATTAGAACAAACATACATATGCAACATCATCACCTAGAATGACTCTCTCCAAAAGGATAGATTTGGGTGCATATATCACTCAGTAATAAGGGAATGAGTTATACAAAACCCAAGAAATTAAACTGAGGCTTCTTTTCTGAGTCAGTCAGTTGCTCCATATGGCAAAGTTTTAAAGAAATATCAGGAAGACTACCCTGTTTTACTATCCTGTCTTAAAAAGTCAGAAAGTCTCTTTTGTAGAAGATATGAGATGGTGTCATTATGAAATGGAAATGCTTGTTCAGCCAGGGAGCAGAGCAATGCAGCTTAAAGTAAAATTGTACTTGCTAAAGCTTTGACCCAGATATACCTCAATTACTTTTAGTATCTTTTTATTCACATTTTCTGTTATGGAAAGCAAATTGATGCATTTTCTGATCTTATTTTCTTTACAAAAAGTAAAACATGATGAATAACTTTTTTTTTGTGATTATCACATATAGTGCCTGCCTTTGCTATTTGTCATGATAACTGTATTTTTCAGGAAGAGACTCATGTTTTTATTCTATAGTTTTTTTAAAATTGATGATTTTGAGCATAAAAATGAAAAATTCTGTTACCAAACCATATCGAAAGGGAGTGTATTTTTCTCTAGCCCGACACATCTATTTCATCACAGTAAAAGAGGAATCAAGAAGCATTCTAGGATTTTTTATCAATTTCTTCTGATGACTGGGTAGGTTTCTTATACAAGCTGGAGTGTTTAGTTAATAACCTGACAGCACATAAGGAGCACAAGAAGCAGGAATAGCTGTGCTTTTAAATATTTGTACCAGTTTGCTTAAAGAGCTGACCCCTGTAATAAGTAATGAAAATACTGAAGCTGTACAATTATCCATAGATTTTTTCTTTAGGCTTGTGAGGTTTTTGTTAATGTACACTTGCTTAAAGTATTAAAAATATGAACTCCAATAAAGGCAAAGTCAGGTCTGTCTTTACTGGAATTGACAGAAAAGTCTTAGAACAAACTCAGGACCTGTATTTTCAGAAGCAGATTATGTATCAGCATACTCAGGGAGGCTGTTTGTAACAGCCTAAAGGCAACTAACTTATTGTAATAAAATGCTGTTCATTGTCTTTTATCTTTGACATTGTTTTACTCAAAAGCATAGAAGTAATTAAGAAGGAAATTTTCTTTCATTTTCAGAGGAACTGGGATGATGGCCATAAAAGGGCAAGAGTGGGTTGCAGTGTAGTAGAAGTTCTGATAGGATATGGATTTTCATTATGTACAGTTCTCCATGTCAGCAAAAGCAGGTCAATTACAGTTTTCTGTGACATTCATAACTAATTTAAATGGAAGTCCTGATATAATATGCTATTTAAGCAGTACCCATTTTGTAATTGAAGCCTCAGTTCAAATGACTGTGGCAATGTATTTTTATTTCCAGTATGGGCTTTTTGACTTCATACTGTGTTCCAAAGTCATCTACCATTGTAAATATGCATTTCATAAAGAATTGATTGGGGATTATTAAAAGCTCAAATAAAACTACCAAAAAGAAAATATTTGCTACAGCTGGGTCACTCATTTTACATTTTTTCCTCAAAAACCTATGTGTGTTTTTGAAAACTATTCTTTTGTGATTTATCACAAAAAGTATTTCAAATATAAGACATAGAGGTACCAGAAGCTATATAATACTTCAGTATACAGAGGATTGATCTTGGTGACTTCCTTATAAAGCACTTTTCATAGAAATTGTAGAACGGTTTGGGTTGGAAGGGACCTTGGAGATCATATAGTTCCAAACCCCTGTCCACGTGCAGAGACACCTTCCATAAGACCAGGTTGCTCAAAGCCCCATCCAACCTGGCCTTAAACATTTCCAGGGATGGGGCATCCACAGCTTCTCTGGGCAGTGCCTTACCACCACCAAAGTAAAGAATGTATTTCTAACATCTAATCTAAATCTCTCTTCTGTTCAGGATTTTTTTTTTTTTTTAAAGCAGAAAACCTTTATCTCTGATGCTAAGTTGCAGACTTACATTGCAGTTTTTGTTAAGTATAGTTTCATGTTGAGAATTCTTGAACCTTTCAGTTATTTAGTTATAAAAGAAATACCTACCCAGGGAAACCAACACTTGGGTGAAATTGGAATGATGACAAAAATTCCTTGATTTTAATAGTTGCGTTGTCCACAGTCACTGTTGCAGATTCATCCTTTTCTTCTTGAAAGCCATGTAATTAAAGGGTTCTTGCTGCTGAAAACCAAAATATTTGTGTAACCCTGTACTCTATGAACATAACCGAGGAGCTGACAGGAGATAAGATAAAAGCCAATAAAAAGAGAATAATTTATTAAAAAGATCTAATGTTACAAGAACAGTACACAGGAACTATTATATTACTGTGTCTTCCACATTGTATATACCATTATATATAGCATATATACAGATTGTACAATATATCTAACATTGTGATATGGGCCATGACAGTATCTTTCTTTTGGTCTGTGAAACAAAATTTCTTTCTAATTAATTTTTTTTCTGAACAGATCTTGTGGCTGTATACAAAAATACAGTCTCCTCAGTGACGCCAGACTGCAGTATTACAATCTTCTACAGGAAAAAGGAAAAAGCTTTCCCTTGCAACTGAAAGATGTCGTGATAAGGAAACATCTTCTACAAAGTAACAAATAGGTAATACATAGGTACTTAAACATTTAAAACATGTTTATTATTATATTTAAGATGCAAAATACATATTCTGTTCATGTTGAATATAAAACATACCCCTTTTTGTCCCTGCAATACAACTACATTACCTGATGGTATGTTCAGTATTTTTATCTTTATCTTCATACTAGAGTTCGAGATGTATCAAGATGGAGTTCTATCTCCTTATCAGGCTTTTATTCTTCTTATAAAGCATATCCATTTACTGTATTCAGAAATTTTAACTGCCATTCAGCAAATGCCACCTTAGTGAATGTAGCCTTTCTGAATACTCTGAAATAAACTGCATTGGCAAGCGATTGTATAAAAAATAGAGGAAATTATGCTTAATTAATTTATAAAATAGCCATTTTGCTTTTTTGGTTCATCATTTTATTCTTGTTTATTTTAACCTTTTGAAAGATGGTGGATTGCTAATGCAGGTTCTCTGCATAGTAACAATGCTGCTGTTTTACAAATGACAGCAGGTAGTTATTTTTTCTGTGAGTTTGCTCTATCAGCAAGGTACGTTACACCTTCCTTTCTTTGATCTCAGAGACTTTTCCAGAAAACAAAGATCTAGAATGTCTCTTCCTATCTACAGCCTGTGCTTAGCTAGCTATCCTGCCTTTGTTTTTCTAGCAACATGGTGACTACGTAAATTTAAACCACATTTTTAAAAAAATTATTTAAAATATTAGTGGGTAAGAAAGATTTCAGTTGAACCTTCTCTGAAAAATTTTACTGATAAAATATTAAAAAGAAAAAACATTTAGTCATCAGTCAGCTTTTTACCTACTAAGCACTTGATCTGTGTTGTACTTTCTTGTCTACTACTTTAAAGCTGCTGAGAAAGAGCATATTTAGCTAAATGCTAAAAATTATTTTGGTAGTGAATAGGCAAAATAATAGCATTTTGATTGCAGAACCCATCAATTGAAATAGATTTTCATCAAACCCTTTTAGAGGGATGGACAGCTAGAAGAACTGTGCTGTTAGGGCTTTCATGTTAAACATTTCTGACCTGATTTTTCTCAGGTGAGGGAATGTTCATCCTATGCTTGATTCATAGATATGTTAGTAAAACACCCTTGTCACAGCACTGTGCACACAGTAATTGTACAAACATGCACACCATTTACTCTGGGAATTATTTTGCTTCAGGTGCCAATACGTGGAAAGGCCTTCCAATGCCAAAAAGTTGTCCAAATTGCCTATTGAATGAAAAATTTTTGGTATAGCAAAAATTGGGGATTAAAACTGATAACACACAGTCCCTACAAGAATAATGTCCAGTAAGCTATAGAAATAGAACCAAGTATTTTTTCTCAGACACTAAATCCTCCAAAATATATCGTACTGCAGTTTGAATATATGTGAATGACTAAATTCTGAAAAATGTTAATATTCCCTCCATAATATGCTTTCATCTATGCTTCAACTTGATAACCATCTATATAAAGCATAGAATGTTACTAAAGAATGGACTCAGAGGAAAAAGAAAGTGGAGGAAAAAAAGCTCAGAAGTTGTTGGAAAACAGTAGATTTCTCTCCTTGCTTTGCTTTATTTGTCCACCTAGGATCTCAATGTATATAATATTTAAATGCCCAGTGCAGTTTTCATTGTCATATGCAGTAGGAATTGATTTCTTTCTTACTTTTGAAAATAAATATCTGATTCATTGGACATAAAATCTTGCAGTATTTGATGAATAAAAACTTGTTTCCTCTTAAGTTTGTATTTAACAATTTTTCATTTACCTTGCAATAAAATAAATGCTTTTTTCTGCTCCATTTTGCCACATTCTGAGTATGCTGTCCAGTACTTTATTGGCAATTATTTTTGCTAATTAAATACATATTATACATTTTCAGAATAAATTCTCTTTACTTTTTGCAGTGGGTTGTGTAGATAAATTATATTTTTTCTCAGTTGTTACTAGAAACAACCAGTTATAGGGGATGCAAGCAAAGTATTCGACAAAGTTGCATCAAACTATGTTCTATATTTTAAAAAAGGAATTTTTTTCCAAACCAAACAGATATACTGTACTAGACACTACTTTTAAACATCTGATGACACATGACTGGGCTCACCAAAATGGAACGTATTAAAAAAGGAAAATACATTTGTCAGAAATTACCTTTGCTTACAAAAGTTTATTACATACAATCTGCATATTTTTGGGCAAAAAGGGTCTCCTCCCTAGAGGACTATTACAAATAAAGAAGAGATAAAAACCTAATGAATTATTGACCGTGTCTCCAACACTCCTCTAGGTGCACCACAGGCATTTCTATGGTTCTTTAAGCAGTAGCTCACGTTTCCAGTTTCTCCACAGACATAAAACTCCACCCCTTGGTGTCATTAAGTTAAAGCAAAGAAATAACAATAAAGTCTGCAACCTTCACCATGACGTCAAAGGTACCATCAGTGCCAAAAGCAATGTTACAGAGGACGAGGAAGTAGACAACACATGTAAGGTGGATTGAGCACTTGTTACTTTCCCTCCTGAAATGAAAAGCAAAGTAATTAAGGAACAAATGAAGCAAATGGTTGTCAGTACATTTAGATACTATATTTTGCCCAAAACTTGTATTCTATTACCCTCAGCAAAAGCCTAACCTTTAGGAATGGATTAGCTTCTGATAACTGCAGTCAGAAAATAGGCTCCTTACACAGAGGTGATTTTATGAGGATACCTACAGCAACTCAGCTGCTGGAGCCTTATATTCAGTCTGCAGATGAATAGGAAATTCCAAAAGGGTATGCGGTTTTGTGCCTTAATTCTCAAAAAAGAATTAGGCTACAGAAGCTGCTCTGAGTCCCAGCCATAGTCACAAATCTTCCCAGAAAAAAGGATTAAAGCTGGCCCTTGATCTCTATGTTTGCTCAGAGGAAAAAGTGGTATTTTGCCCAGTAGTCCAGTGATGGTTTTAGATTACAGCAGTCTCTTAAAAGGCCATGTTAAGGGGAACTGTTCTCTGGGCTGGCAGAGGCAACAGAATGGGAAGGGAATCAGTCTGGGTTCCTTTGGACAACAATTGACCTAAATGGAACTAATGTGATATGCATAACCTAATTACAAATATCAGGAGAGAGGGAATGAAAGAGTTGGTAGCCTAGAGTTATGGGTCAAAGGATACACGAAACAAATATTCCGTGGAGCAGGGATTGGTGTGTTCTGCATTCTGATGATAGCACTGTGGGTTTGTGACTAGATTAAAGATGAAATTTTAGTCCTAGACTGAAGTTTCAGGCTCATATCTTTTAGTTAGCACTCCTTAAACAGTGTAAAGCAATGTTTAGTAGAACTTTAAAGTGTTAGCAGAAAGTCAGAATTAAGATGCCTTGTTGTGTTTAGGCAAAAGTCAATGTTATTTTCTACTTTTCTTGCCAATAATCCTTCCATCCCTTTCTTACCTATGTAATATTGATACTGTACATTTTTTCAACTTTTCACAGTAACTGAGGAGATAGAATCTAGACATCCTAAGTTACTTTGTGATAGCACTTTAATACTGTAATAAGTTAATAATTTAATAAAATAATAATTATTCAAGGGAATCATTGGAATCTTAAGAGAAATTCAGCTTATTCTAAGGTAGGCAGATACAGAGGGTTCACAGATTCACAGAATATGCTGATTTGGAAGGGACCCATAAGGATCATCAAGTCCAAGTCCTGGCCCTGCACAGGACCATCTCCAAGACTCACAGTATGTACCAGAGAGCTTCATCCACATGTTTCTTGAACTCTGTCAGGCTTTGTGCTGTGACTACTTCCCTGGGGAGCCTGTTCCAGAGCCCAACCACCCTCTGGGTGAACCTTTTTCTAATATCCAACCTAAACCTCCCCTAACACATGAGGTCATTCCCTCGGGTCCTGTCAGTGGGCACCATAGAGAAGAGATCAGTGGCTGCCCCTGCTCTTCCCCTCATGGGAAGTTGGAGTCTGCTACCTATATACATGCCATTTTATCTTTGTTAGACCACCTCCAGCTGGTGGTCCAGAATGATGTGTGTAACCTCTAAGTCCAATATTATATCTGCCATGTGCAAATGTTTGGAATATCTTAAAACATATCAGGTGTCCTAATGGGCTTACGTCTGAATATTTAAATTCAACAGAATTGCTGTCAAGGCTCCACTCTTGGTCCCTATGGATTACATTTCAGCTGACTATATTGCTATTTGAGACACCTAGTTCACATGTAAACATCTATAGCTCAGTTAGGTTTTCAAATGTTATCCTAGAAAGAGAAAGGTTTCCTATAAATCTTCTGCTTTGTCAACCTCACATGGTTGCCTCAGATACTCTTGAGAATCTCAAATGGCACTAAATGTCTTTGTTTCATCATGGAACTGAGGACTCAGATTAATAATTTTATCTAATAGCTAAATAATTGTGACAACATTGTTTTTCAGATGGAGAATAATAGAGTTAATTAGCATTGCTATAATCACTACTCTTTCAAATTTAGTGTAACCTTACCTGAAAAAGATGGAACTCTGATCTGGGGACTTGCAGTCCCATCCCCTCCTTCACTAACTGCACAGACCTCAATGATGTAGACACCAACATCAGGAAGAAGTACCACCGCAGAGGTTTTCTCTGTTTCTATAACTTGACTGTTGCTCTGGCCTTCTTGCCGAAATAAAACCTATGGTCAATAAAATAGACAGTGGTCATAGTGGTCATTCAAGTTATATACCAGACATTTTGTGTAGATAACACAGTCACTGCAGTGTTAACTGTTTCATGCTTTCATTAAGGATTTTGTGATATTACATTTGAACGGTCATCTGCTTTTAATCTTCCCTCCCTACAGTGGCTTCGAAACAGGAATAGAAAAGTATACTAGCAATTAATGAACATGAAAGAACATAGATTGTCATCCAGAGCAAAGGTAGAACATTTACCCTCTCCAGCATTAGATGTTGCACAATTTTACCTCCAAAATTTCAAAATGCAATTTTGGTTCCATTCGATTCAAATTCTTATCCCCAAATTTGTGTTGATATTCACATTTTTGGCTCAAGAACTGAACTTCAAATGTAAAGAAAATGTCCTTATTGTGTTTACCTTAGCTGGATAACTGAGAATAGCTGAGGTCTGTCCCTGTACCTGTGGTGACATTCAGCACAAATTTATGGGAGGAAAAGCAAGTGAGTATGTAGCTGTCTTTTTGGTATTTCCGCATAAGAGTTTCTAATCCCAGACAAAATTGAAAGAGTTAGAGAAGTGTGAAAAACTAGAGTAGTCAACTATTTCAGAATATGACCGAATCTAATAAAGGTTAGAACAGTTTCTGGCTTATTTGAACCATTTTACACTTTCTTGGTGATATTTCCTAGTGTATCAGAGGCAATATCAGATTTTAGTGTATAGAAATGATTGTATACAGGCTTCAAAAAAACTAAACCTCTGCACTTCTGTAAAAACACTAGAAACATTCTACTTTGATTTAAAATATTGCAGCGAATTCTGTGGGGTTTTGTGACTTGCTATTTAAATGTTAATCTGTATTTTACTCTTTAAAACTTTAAAACTTTAATGCCAAATGTTACTGTCACTGACTGCTGAACATCACCAACATCATTATAAAACAAACTGAAGTGTTTGTGTTTCTGCTCCATAAAAATATTAATTTTAATGTCAATTTATGGTGCCTCATTATTCTGCATTTCTCTAAATCCTACTGCAAACACAGTTGAATTGAGGAGTTATCAGGAATTTCATCACAGGCTTGCCCTATTAATACCCACTTCTGATTCAGAGATAATGAGCTGATCCCCTCAGACAAAGCTTACTCAGTTTATAATCAGTATTTGAAAATCACAACACACAAATATGTTGGGACATTTTTCTCATTTTAATTTTATTTATTGCTTTTCATGGTGAAAAATGATTGGAGACATTCTGTACAGAACGCTTTACTTACACCAAAAGAAACAAGAAAGGGAAAAAAGCCACCAAAGAAGAGAAGGAGTTGTTTGGAAGAGACAAAGGTGAGTAAGGAAGGGGAAGCACTGACCTTGTATCCCATTACATCAGATTCATTAGCTAGAGGTCTGACTGGCTCCCACCCAAGAGACACATGTGAGCCATCCTGTATCCACATAATATTGCCTGGAGCTTGGCTGGGAGCTGAGAAGAAAAAAATAGCATAAACATAGATATATTTTTATAGGTAGTTTCTTTAAAATCAAAATAAAAGTATTTAAGTCTTTTATTACATTTAAAACTAGTTATGTTAGCAGGCTCCAACAACTCTGGATCAAATTTCTAAGATTTTTTTTTTCACTAGTATTGTAATTTAATAAATTATTATGTATTTATTCATCCCATCCCATCCCATCCCATGCCATAAATTCCACAAAACCTATGAACCTGAAATCTTTTCTCTTCCTTCTTTGTAAAAAATCCTTTTTTTTTTTTTTC